TGGTGTAAAATTTGTTTTGACCGTCAATATCGGCAGCGATGACCTGAAGTTTATTAAGTATATTAAGTCAATTTTAAGTCACTAAACCCATTTGGCATTGCTAAATATGTTATCACAGTTAGCTCTGTTAGCACTGTTAGCAGTGGCTATTGTTGCTCACAAGGTCAAAATGCTACAAGGGTTTTGCGCTTTAGAATGAGGCTGCTTACTCACCTGGGTTGCCTGGGGGGAGACCAGAGGGTGGCTACCATGTTTCTGCAGCAACGCCATCCTACCACCAGAACAGCGTTACAGCAGTAATCTCCAAATAAGTGCTGCAACAAGCTGAGAGTGGCCAAGGCTAACGTTAGCTGACCAGTGGAGACCAGAGGTTGGGCAGTGGGCGCTATGTTCCTGCATGTTAACAGGAAATAGAATGAAACAAAACCACCATCACCACCTCTAAATTCAATCCACCATCTTCCCCTCCCCCTGGTGTCACTCTAGAGATGCTGATATGACACATAGGAAACCTACAAATGTAATGTGTCTGTGGTTTGTAGAAACCTACAATGCCAGCATTTTCTTTTGGCGACTGCTCTGTTTGTTGACTAAACATAGTATGGAGACCAGACAGATTTGTAGTGAAATGTCTTGTATTGTGTGACGCCCTGTCTCTATGTGCAAACCCAAACAACATCAAGATACCTCATTATAAGACAAACAGTCCTGTAATGTGATCAGTGCAACAACCTAACAACTTTCAAAGTCGTGTGTGTAGGTGCCATTACTCTCTGTGAGTTATATTTTCTCCGACTATCTCTTTGCACACATCTGTGGACATTTGTAACAAGCCGCCGACTCTGTAACATCTAAAGGAGACTTATTTCAAAACACACCGGGAACCGGGAACTGAGCTGAACCCTGCGCTGCACATGTTGTTACAGAACAGCCCTGATAGCTGTAAAACATTAACACTAAAAAGAACCATATTTGTGCTGCTTCCTCTAAAGATATTTCCAGCTCATCAGGCTCATGTAAACATCAAAAACCTGGTTGAGAAGTCGCGTCATTAGCACGGCGGCAGCGTTAGAGCTGGATTGTATCAAAGAGAAGCATCTTTGTTCCACAGTCTCAAGCTGTGAGAGTCGTATTAATTACTTTGTTCGAGGCCATTTTTGCGTTTGTCCGTCTGCCGCCCTGCAAAAATGAATTTTCCAGGCCTGGTTCTCGAATGATCGGTTCCCACACGGACAGCTATTGTGTGTTTACGCCTATACAGCTCTCTACATTATTTATGAAGGCTTGCACGAGCAGCAGCATTTCCATGGAGATGACTCAGGGGAGTTTGGTACGCCGCTCGGAGCTTTAAAGTAGTCTTGTCCCCGTGACCCAGTGTCCGTCTTCATCTGCCCGACAGCAGTGGAGATGAAGGGAGCTCCAGAATAGAAAATGCAGGTCATATCTGTTTATCTGGGATTAGACTGTTTCCCAAGTATACATATATATAACGCCAGGCTCATCCAATTGCCTCAGGGGTCACAGGAAGACGTGGTTGAAGTGACTCAGAAATATGAGGTTATAAAACGTCGCCTGTAACGCTGCACAGTCTCATGTTACTTGTCATTTTTTAAGCAGACGTTTGTGTCAGCATCCCCTCATCCCTCCATCCCCGCCTCTTCCTTTTTTCCTCGTCTCCAAGGGGCCAGACTGGCTTCTTTCTCACCTCTGATGTTTATTACACAAACAGCACCCAGGATCAAATATTCTTACTTTTTTTTTTCCCATCCGGAGAAGCCAAGTGTTGGTGAGAGATAACATGTAGAGGGAGTGGGAGGTGGGGAAAAGAGAGAGCGGCAGACTTGTTTATATGTCTTGATCTGACGGGATGAATAATTCAGCAAAGGGCTTCCTGGCACCCCAGGATTATATTAAAAGAATAGTTAGGGCAGTGGGGTATAAAAAACAGAAAAAGTTAGGGGAGATGAAGTCGGGGTGATGGAGAAGATGGAAGCCTTGATTATGGAAAGCATTGTGAATTATTTAAACTTGTTTCCCCACGAAGAAAAACACACAAAGTGCTGAATCTCCAGCGGAGGTAGCCGTGAATGCCAATATGGTTTCGGTGATTAGAGGAGATTTCACTCCGGGACAGGAGGTGGAGAGCGTCTGACAGCTTCCTTTCACCTGAGGTCGGAGGAATTCCTGCTTTTCTGTTTGCCATCAGGGACTCTCACATCTTCTTTCAATATTTAAACTTTTTCGGGCTTTGCTTTCCCTGGACGTTTGCAACAGTCTTTGGTGATTAGACAACATCGTCTAGATGCTGGTAATGGTGATGCTGATGATGGGATGAGATGAAGAGGGAGCTGGGGATCTGGATGTGAATAGGAGTAGGCTTTTAATGAGCTTGTCCTGGGCTCTGGATAAGGTGACTGGAGGGGAATGAGGTGGAGGAGGGTGCGACGATTCCGCCTAAAATGACAGCTGACAGGAGCAGAGAGGAGAACAGATTTAAAGTTTGGCAGCAGCAGCAGAGACTCCAGCACCCCTGTGACCCCCAACAGGACAAGCGGCCACGGAAAAAATAATGAATGGCGTCCAGACCCAACATTTTGCCACAAATCCTTTTTAGTATTGTTGACTTTGTCATCACTGTTAGCCTTGTTAGCACTGTTAGCATTGCCAGCATGGATCGTGGTGCTAACATAGTTAACAATGCCAAAGAAGTGTGCAGCTTAAAAAAGAAGCCGCTTACTCTCTGGCACTAGATCGGAGGGTAGCTACCATGTTTCCACAGTGGGTTACTAGTGGTAATCATTAAATGTGCAGCGCCACTAGCTAGTTCCCACCCGACCCAGGTGGTGCACAGTGCAGAGGGGCCAAGTATAACATTGGCTTATCGGTGGAGACTGGACGGTGGGCAGTGGGCACTGTGTTTCTGCTTGTTAAAGTGGCTAGCCGGCTGTCTGTCAGCGAAGTCAACACAGTACGCAATTAAAGGCAAGACATTTCCATCACAAAACATTAAAATTTTACCCTGTCTGAATGGAGGGCACTTTGAAATGCAGCGCTAAAGTTCAGTGGAGTGTCAGACTGAAAGGAAAGGCCTCGTTTGTTTTACATCATTCTGCTTCTTTTTTTTTTTTTTTTTTTTTAGCCATTGAAAGTGAAACTGACATCCCTAAGTGGTATCGTCTTTTTGTCACTGTCACGCTGTCACATGAGGAAGTGCAAATGTATTTTATGTAAAACGTAAAACATTTTACAATATGCACAGGATGGGAATTATGTTGTTGGAATCCCACAGAGTGAGAAACACACACACACACACACACACACACACACACACACACACACACACAAAAACACACCAACAAATGCTGGTATTGCCCAGTTCTGTTGGTGTCAGGTTTTTTTTCTTCTTCTATTTTGGTTATTGTAAATTGGTTTTAAATTTCCAGCTGGCATTAAAAAGGTCTTAAAAAATCCTAAATGTAACACGCCTGCAGCTGTCGGAGCCCTGCAATAACCTGAATGCTGTGATGAGCAGGTCAAAACACATGTCAGTCATGGCTGTGTGGGTGGATGCTCATTTTTTAGATGTCGTGGTTATATCTATCCATTTCAAGAGGATTTAAATGACTATATTTCAGAGTAAAGTAGCTCCAAACTACACCTTGAGTATAGTAATTTAAGAGCTGTTGAAGCAGCGGTTAGACGGCTATAAAACGTCCAAATGTAGGCTGATTTTTCGCCCTCGTGCAAAGAGACGTGCTGCGATGCTGCATTTCTGTTTTAAGGAATTCCATGTGAGACACACCCTAATACCAGCTGTTCCATCACTCCTGTTCACTAATAGAAAAAGCTGCTGTAATCATTATGGGAGACTCCAAATAAAGCTGACCTCCCTGGAAAGGCTGTGGGAGGAAGAGGGAGCGGGACTCAGACTGGGGAATACTGGAATTTTTAGGGCAGGACACTGTGGGAAGAGGGGACATGGTGGGAGGAAAACTCCCGACTCCTGAGCCTGCTGCACTGTGTCCGCTGCGTGGGTCTTTTGTCTTATGCTCTGGCATCACACACAGACAAATTGACTGAGTTCCTCCATGTTGTAATTACTGTTTGTTGAGAAACGGCGAATCCCCCTGCGCCGTGTCATTAGGATTAGCACTCGGCAGGGTGTTGCTTTCCATTCTCCTGTAGCAAAGAAAAAAAACTCAATATCCCATCTGTCACCAGCCATTCTCTGCAGCTAAACAAAGCCTGGCTGCAGTTACACCATCTAAATGGATTAATCCTCTCCAGCCAAAAATTATTGGAACACACCTGCGATCACAAGGAAAATACACATCCCAACACTGTTTATGCTCAAGGTCGGGCTTTGGATTTACAGCTTTGAAGTAACAAATGTGGCTCGCAGCCTAATTGGCTCAATTAGAGTTCAAGCAATGAAGTAAAAAGACGGGCGTGAAGCCAAACGCAGAGCGATAGCAAACTACAACACCCGAAATTCCCCACAGAGACAATTTATTTCAAGGATGATGAGTGTTTCTGCTGGAAATTATGCACTTCCAGTCATGTGATTTTAATGTGAGAGAGAAACCTTTGTGTTGAAGAGCTGCTTCGTGTCACCAGAGACAAAATAAATCAGCCTCCCATTCATTAAAAGCTTCAGTCTGAGTTTGTATTCATGATACCAGCTGTGATGTTTTCACCAAAAAATTAAGATGTACACCGCAGTCTGCTATTAACCTGCGACTTTGTCTCCGTGTTTAATCACTTACACAAATGTTTGCTCCCTAGCTGCTGCATGTGAAATGAATCTGGGCTTTTTCTTTTTAACTCAAAGTGCTGATTTGCGTGTTGTCGGCTTTGTGCACTCCCCTGATATCTCACAAAGATGGGGATTAAGTTAATAATCAGCAAAAAAGCAGGATGAAAACTTTGTGTTATTGTCACCAAGAGAGGATACGTAATTGTTTCCTGTCTCCTGACCTGTGTGCCCTGTCTGTCTGCAGGTGTGCTGAGCCTGCCGGAGAGTTTGAACCTGCACCGGGACCAGCAGCGCTCAGGGCGGGGCGGCGAGGTGCAGGCTTACAGCCAGGCCGAGCTGCGCACGCTGGAACAGTCGCTGCTCGCAACACGGGTGGGCAGCATCGCAGAACTGAGTGAGTACACTTTAACCATCACTTCTACACCACAGGTAATGTACAGTTAGGTTTTAGAAAACTTTGATCAAGTTGGCGATGACAGAGAGGTTCTGAGTTATTACTCCTGAGGCATACAATGAGCAGATGTTTTCAGGCTCCCCTCCCTACCATTCATCAATCCTGAACTCGGGATGGACATTTTAATTAACTTCCATATTCAAGTGCTCACAAAATTTCACAGGGCTCTCAAAAAAAATAAGAATGTTAGAATAGGAATTAGCAAACAATGAAAAAGCAATTTGAAAGTCATTTATTGATCAACCAGGCCACAAAAAGCCTTTAAAACCTTAAACTGAAGCTCAACTTGAGAAAAATCTGCCGTATTCCAGTTACTGCTGCTAACACTACATACCCTAGAGGCAGTAATGAACAAGTGTCTCTTACATTGTGTGCGACAACTTTAATTATTTATTTGTTTTACGTGCCATAGTTTCAACTTACTTTTTGTTCATGGCATGTGTTGGCACTGCTTGTGTGCGTGCCTGTTTAGAGTATGAATGAATGATATCTTATCCCCTCTTTCAATATTTTTTTTTTTGACATTTTATTCTGTGCATTGAATTTCGTTGCATCTATTTACAATGACAGTGAAAGGAATTTAAAGGCGCCGTATGTAAGAATGTGGCCAAAACGGTTACTGCACTCAAATTCAAAATACTGCTGCGAGTCGTGTCCACCCCCCCTCCCCTACAGATTCGAGGCTGCTGGACAGCAGCACACTGGAGACTGACGGCAAAAATAGAAGTCCTGCGTATCTATTGCCGCAGCTGAGACGGAGCCGGAACGCAGCACAGCCGCAGCCGGTGCAAACAGACATTGACTAGAATTGAATCCTATCGGCTCCGCTGCCGTGCCGGAGGGCAGACGCAACCAACTCGCATCTGGTGGAACTTGGGGGTGATTTGTTTGCCCACGGGCGCCACATCCTTGATTTTTAATTTTCCAGCGGACCGTTTGAGCAAGTCCAGCTTCTCTGCTGCTAACGCTGCGGAGGAGGAGCCGGCTGCTAATGCTACATACCGGGACACTGCTAATGCTGCTTGCCGTGCTGCTAACATTTGTTTCTCAAAAAAATCAGTCGGGTTGATGACCCACCTGCACATGGGCTACAATGTATGATCGAAAATGAGCAGTTGAAAGTATTCAAAATCTCCATCGCCGTCTAGCTATGATGCTAGTTAGCCAACTTTGGCTAAAGCTTACCTGTCGAGGAGAAGAGTAGCCACTTTGACGTCCGATTTCAAATTCCACTGTTGCCTTTACTCCCCACATCTTTTCTAGCTCCTCTTTCAGCCCTTGGTATTTCTCAAACTTCTCATGTTCCTTCTTCCTGATGTTGCTCTGGATCGCTACATCTATCACCACTGTCTTCTTCTGTTGTTTGGGCGATCAACATGATGTCTGCTTGATCAGTCTGGAACTGGAAGTCCCCCAGGATCTTAGCTCGGTCATTCTCAACCACCTTAGGAGGTGTATTCCATTCTGACCTTGGGACTTCCAGCCCAAACTCAGTGCAGACGTTCCTGTACACTATGCCAGCTACTTGGTTATGGCGTCCCATGTACACTCTTCCTGCCTGCATCTTACACCCTGCTGTTACGTGCTGAACTGTCTCAGGAGCACCTTTGCACAGTCTGCACCTGGGGTCCTGTCTGCTGTGGTAAATATATAAATTTTTGTTAATTAAGACAAATTCAGTCACTGGGAGGTTGGTTCATTACAACGTTTGACAGTCAAGTCTTCTAAAATATATTTTCCCAGCCTAATTGAAGAGTAAAAATCAACCACCACCCCCAAATAATAAGGGTTTTGTCCAGATTCTCAAGAATTGGTAAAAGCCCAAGATGAAACATGCTTCCCTCAGGACTAGGAGCTGCTAACAGAGCTATTAGCGTAGCAAAATTTTATTAATAGTCTCTACTTGGAGTATACTGGAGAGTAAAGGTGACCCATAATGATCTATTTAAATATTACATTTACATCTTAAACCTCTTCTACCCCGCTGAAGAGTCCTATTAAACCTAAAATGACATTAAAATAGTCAAATGTGAAGACATTAGATATTGACCCCTTATATATGAGCATCTTGAGACTGCACTTATTATCTCTCAGACGTTAAAGTGTGATGAACAGCACTGTGTTAAGTTCAGCGTACAGCACATTATAAATACAGCAGTAATTGTTATGCACATTAAATCTGATCATCTCAAGGACTTATTTCCATAACTGTTTGCCAAATAGCCCCATTAGTGTGAAGGAATGCACGCTCCCCGTCCCCGCGGGCTGTCATGGTGGTCTGAGGCCAACCCGCCGCCTCTGTACTGTCCCCTCACCTCCTCTCCTCATCCGTCTCTCCCCCTCCTCCACCCCTCTGACAGCCAGGAACCGTTCTATTACAGCTGTTCTAACACCTGTTTATGAGTCACGCCCGGAGACCTTTTAAATCCAAGGTCACCGCCTCAGAGAAGCTTTTAACCTCAACTTGAAAGGAAGGGCTCCACCTTTAATTCTGACACCCCGCTACCTCCACCTCCACCTCCACCTCCGCCCCCACCGCTGTCCTCATGCTCTCCACAGTCACATATTAGATCACCCTGTCCCCTCCAGACATCTGCACACCAAGTTTGTGTCCGTGCACATTTGTCCTGGATGAATGTGTGTGTCGTCCCCATAGCGCATTACAAACCAGCAATGCACCACACATCATCAATTAACGTAAGAATTTGTAGTCTTTTCTCGTCACCAGTTGCTCTGTCACAGTCGCGATTAAGCCTGTGAGCAGTTTGTGAAGTGTTGTGATGCATTTGTATTTATGTTGTGTTTGGAATAAATACATTAAGAGCTGGTTAGTTAGCATGAGGAGTGACCGAGGCTGAAAGATGGATGCAAGAACTAAGCCCCAGTGTTGCTACTTTGAAAACATAGCTCTGCAAAATACTAATTAATTCACATTGGGAGAAGTTAAACGACAGCAAAGCTACACCAGAGTGAAATATAGTTTGGTTTACTAAGGGTAGTTCAAACAATTTTGTAGAAACTGATCAAACTGACAATGTACAATACGAAATTAAACAAAATGTCACATGCGAGCAAAAATATCCACTTACTTGAGTTGATTGCAAAAGGTACCCACTTGTTCCCAGGTCTTACATAAACAACAACAAAAATAAAGAATAAAATACCTCACTATTGATTGAGAAGTGCCAGAACGTCAGCTTTGGTTTTGTATACAGCGTCCATCAGACACCTGCCTTCAGAAACTACGAGTTCAGGTGGGGGATTGCACCAGGCAGGATTAATGTTAGCCAAGTACTTCCTAAAATATCATGCAATAACATCTCTGAACATTCCGGGTTTCCCACACATTTCTTTATTTTTGGCGGCCCACTAGTTGTGCTACTGTGTGTGGTGTTGGAATATATATATACACTGCTAGATTAGTCATTGCACCACAGTGTTGGAGGGTAGACAGACTCTGGGTAGAGACGGAGCAGCAGAACACCAGATGCAGTTTAAGCGAATCTTAGCCGTTCATTGCGATAGGTCTAAAAGTTTGCTTTCACCAGCTTCTGCAGCAGCTGCTCCTCTCATCCGTCAATCTGATCTCATCAGCTCTGATCGGATCAACTGAGCAATTATCAACCCCACAGCTTAAAATCTACAAACTGTTGCTAAGGGGGATAATAAGCTCAGGAAAGGGGGCGTCCACTGGCTCACCTGGTGGAGTTGGTGCCTCATGTGCAGTGCCTGTGTCCTTGCCACGGTGGCTGTGGGTTCGGTTACAGCCAGTAGGCTTTTGCTCATTCCCCCACTTCTCTACCTGTTTGATGCTACAGCTGTCATATCAAATTGAGGCCAATCTGGAAATCCATCGGTAAAAAAAAAAAAAAAAAAGTTTTTCTTCCTTTACCTCTGGAGGCACAGCCCGGAGTTTTTCGACTAATGGAAGTGCAGGGGCCTCACGCCCTTCACTTTCGGCGGTGCCCCCAGGGAATCGCCGTGTTGTTTACAAATACCTCGGGTAGAAAACCAGCAGAGTTTAGCTATATATCACATTTTTCACGTCACTATATCACCGTGTAGACTAATCTGATGTTTGTTAAGTCTATAAACACAATGAATGAACAAACGTTACTATTTCTGTGTGCACATTTTGTAATAAACATGGTTATCGTAGATTAGCTGGGCTAACCGTTAGCTGTTAACGTTAGTCATTAGCAATGTCTGTAATAACCATAGACTGGGTAAAAATAAGGTAATAACTCAATCAACGGTCCGTGAATAAAATATTTTTTCCAGCGGATATCTTAGTTACAACATGATTGAGCTAGCAAAGCAGTTTTGTGTTGCTATGTGTGGTATTTATTCAGTTATGGGAAATCACGATGTCTAGAAAGCATCAGTGGCTGCAGCTGACAGGGACAGTTAGCAAAACTAACATCAGGACGTCATCTGTTAAAAGCCTCCCGTTGTTGGATACGACATGAAACTACTCCAGTTAGCTCAATCATGTTGTAACTAAGACATCCACTGGAAAAAATATTTTTTTGCACGTTGACGAGACGGTGTTTTGGGTGGAGCGGTCGCTATGGACGTGGAGCTTGCTGTTTCTGTAGGTACACATTTCCTGGGGACACCTGCATGTCTCAGCCCCGCCCCCTCCATTGTGATTGGCTAAAGTGCAGCATCGTTCAAACTCAAAGCCCCACCCTTGCCCCCCTCTGTAGTCGTCTTTCACACAGGGCTGCCGACAGATTCTACAATGTAAATTGCAGAATCTGTCTTGAGAGATTAAATTGAGGCTAAATGCCCCAAAAATATTTAAAAAAAAAAAACAACAACAAAAAAACTTGGGAAAAGTTCCACCTGCGCTGTGTTCAAGGACCTGTTAAAAAAAAAAAAAAACAACGGAAAAGTTTGCTGCCCCCTGAAATATGTCATTTGTTAATAGATAGCAA